GCAATTGACAGTGTTAAAGGAAGAACTAATTATTCAATTGGTTTATGAACACAAACTGAAGTTTTTGTACTCAGTGACAGTTCGGAGGAGCCAGGTTCAGTAGCCTGCAACATGTTTACAAAGGTTCTAGAATGTTTCAACATGATTGGGTTGGAGCAGAGAAATGAAACAAAACTGAGACACCATAGAATTATATGTTTTCAGAAATGAACACTGTTGATTCTGAGTGATCAACACTGGGAGTCTCTACTGATGTAGAGAGCTATATATATATTCCAGTGCAGACAGTACATCAGTGAAATCTAATGACAGTCCAATAATCTTTTTGAGAAGATATTAGTTTCCTTATGTTGGTTTTGCATTTCAAAGGACATTCATCTTAACGTGTAAGATGCACTACACAGGAGTTCCTGGATAAGGCATAGTCCTCCCAGATTGCATATGACAGGAATATCATCTTGAGAGATCACTGCTCTCTAGAGGTATTACGAAGGTTAATTATCACTTTAAGTTTTTCTCTTTCTCAACATAAAAAAGGAAGTTAATATTTTAGAATAGTCTGCAAAACAACAAATAAAAGTCAATTCAAAGTTAAAGCTATTAGGTAAAGCTATACTGAACTCTATAATACATCTCTAGAAAAGGCTGTAACAGCATGACTAAATCTGGTGAGCTCTCAAACATTAATTGGGATATCGTGCTCCAGTACCATAATGATCTTAAATATTGTTGTAACCTGTATAAGTACTATTAAGCTTTGGCATGGAAAGAAAAATACATAAACACACTGAAGTATGACAATAATGAGATATTAAAAGATAATTTTCAACATAGAACAAAATGAAAAGTAACATACCTAACAACTCTTGTTCTCATATTGGTATTAGATGGCCACTTGTTTTGAACAGACTTCTGCAAACATCCGTAAATATATCTCAACGTCCTGTAAAAATAATAGCTAATTACTCATTCTGTTAAAAATTTCACAGAATCAAAAAATCTGGTCTGAAAGGATATAGTCCTACCTCCAGCTTAATGCAGGACTATTATCAGTGCTAGATTTATTATTCAGACGTAAGCTTTAAATTAACTTAAAATCTGTTATGACAGTACATATACAAATGGCAAGGAGTCCTCGACTAATACGCAATTCTATATGTGCAAGTAAAATTCTGATTTATCCCATGTGCATTGAAATATTTTGTTTCTTATTTCTTAAATATTCTTCTCCTTTCAAAAATGAGAGCACTCTGGTGTATTTCAGAAGATGTTGAGATACACCATTGTCATGGTTTTACGATTTTTTGTTAACCATATTCCACATCATAACATCATGTAGTGCACTGGGAGTTAAAGAGTGAATGCTCCAGTTCCAGGTACCTGTCTCAGAAGAGAAGAACTACATACCCCTGAGGACTGTTTGCTGTTCTGTTACTGTTTCCGCTCAGAGGGAAAAGATAAAAGCATGCAGATCACTTTCCCTGCCCCATTTTTGTCATCTAGCTTGTCTCTGTTGGGGGTGCCGTCTTGTCACAGCATCAGAGTAAGGCCTTTGGCTTTCGGACACACTCTCTCATGTAATTGATTTATTAGCTTCAATTCTAAGTATATTGTATTATAATATTGCACTGTAGTGTGTTATCTTGCATTCCGATATCTTACTCAGTAAATTAGTTTGTTTCTCCTCAGATCATTGCCACTGTTTTGTTTTTAGGCTCATCCCTCTACCCTTTTTCCCCTTTTTTCCCTTTTCCCTTTCCCGGGGCGTGGATCCATGGGTCCCTCCACCCCGCTAGTCATGACACCGGGCCAAACCAGCCCATAAACCACTGACATTCTTGGTGGAGAATGCAGGCATAGGTCGCTTTTTTGGCTTTTAGAACGAATCCCCGGTGTTATGGAATTTTACTCCTGAACACCTGCAAGATCCTGAGAATCTAAGGCAGTATTTAAGACAGGGATGTTGTGGCTCAGGTAAATCTGAGGAGGCACAAATTATTTGGGGTCTGGCTTATGCTTATCGGGCCTTATTCAATACTGTCTCAGAGAGGGAGAGGTTTTCTGAAATTGAGAGAGTCTCCACACCGAAACGGAGAGTTTCCAGGAGAGAATCTGAGCTGAGACAGAGAATCTCCAGGTTCAGAAAGAGAGTCTTCTTGCTGAGAAACAGAGTCTCCAAGCTGAAAAAGAGAGCTTCCAGGAGAGAGTACAAACTGAGAGGGAGAATCTCCTAGGCGAGTAAGATAGTCAGGAAAGGGAATCTCTGAATCTGGCAAGAGTGTCTCCAAGCTGAGAAGGAAAACTCCAAGACGAAAGGGAAGATCTCCGAGCTCAGAGAAAGAATCTCCAATTGCGACAAGAAACCCTCTAAAATGACAGGACACTTTATAATCTGAGCAGGACACCCTCCGAACCAATTGAGACTCCCTTCAATCCAAACTCGACAGTCTCCAAACAGAATGATACAGCCTTCAATCTCAACAAGACACACTCCAAACAGAGCAAGACACTCTCCAATCCTAACTAGAGAGTTTATTTGATTACCTCAGAAGGGGATATTCAAGGATCCCAAGCGGTATCGATGGGCCTTTGAAATAGCTGCTGTAGACACAGACAACATTAAGCAGATGTCTGTTTTGCCTGGTCAAACAGAAGATCTGTCTGTTGCGGGGTCGCTACAAGTGAAAAAGCAAAAAGTAACGATGGCCACAAAATCAGTGCACAGACGGCAGAACCGCACCAACAGGCATTCCTTGCTCCCCATTCATAAGCTGTTTTGTCAACTGGAGAGTCAGGGAGTGATCAGCAAAACTCACTCACCTTTTAACAGGCCCATAAAGACAGTGGAGAATGGAGGCTTACAGTAGACTACCATGACTTGAATGAAGTCACATCTCTACTGAGTGATGCTGTGCCAGACATGTCAGAACTTCAATACGAACTGGAGTAAAAAGCAGGCAAGTGGTTTGCCACCATTGACATTGCTAATGCCTTCTTTTCCATTCCTTTGGCCACAGAATGTAGGCCACAGTTTGCTTTCATCTAAAGAGGCATACCTGGCAACGTTTGCTGCAGGGCTGGTAACATTCCAGCAGTTTGCCATAGTTTGATCCAAGCTGCAATGGAAAGGGGCAGTGCTCCTGAGCACTTACAGTACATTGATGACATTATGTGGGGCAATCTAGTAGCAGAAGATAACAAGAAAGAAGAGCCAATAATTCAGATCCTTCTGTGAGCTGGTTTTCCCACTAAGCGAAGCAAAGTGAAAGGACCTGCCCAGGCGATTCAGTTCCTAGGTATAAGGTGGCAAGATGGACGACGTCACATCCCAGCAGACATGATCAACAAAATCACTGCTATGTCTCCACCTATTAGCAAGAGAGACACAGTCTTTTCTGGGCGTAGTGGACTTTTGAAGAATGCATGTTCCAAACTACAGCCTCACTGTAAGCCCCCTTTATCCTGAAACCTGAATATCTACGAGTTTATGGGTCCCGATGAGATGCATCCCAGAGTCTTGAGAGAATTGGCTGAAGTAGTCGCCAAGCCAATCTCTGTGATATTTGAAAGGTCGTGGCAATCAGATGAAGTCCCTGGTGACTGGAAAAAAGGTAACATCACACTCATTTTTAAGATGGGTAAAAAGGATGATTGCAAGAACTACCATCCTATCAGTCTCACCTCTGTGCCAGGGAAGATCATGGAGCAGATCCTCCTGGAAGCTATGCTAAGGCACGTGGAGGGCAGGGAGCTGATACAGGAGAACCAGCATGGCTTCACCAAGGGCAAATCCTGCTTGATCAACCTAGTGGCCTTTTATGATGGTGTCACTGCATCAATGGACAAGGGAAGAGCCACTGATGTCATCTATCTGGCCTTCAGTAAGGCCTTTGACACGGTCCCCCACAACATCCTTCTCTCCAAATAGGAAAGATGTGGATTTGACGGGTGGACTATTCAATGGATGAAGAACTGGCTGCAGGATCGAGTCCAGAGAGTGGTGGTCAATGGCTCCATGTCTGGATGGAGATTGGTGATGAGTGGTGTCCCCCAGGGGTCCGTGCTGGGGCTGATACTCTTTAATACCTTCACAGTGGGGTCAAGTGCACCCTCAGCAAGTCTGCTGGTGACACCAAGCAGTGGAGTGTGGTCGACACACCAGAGGGATGGGATGCCATTCAGAAGAACCTGGACAGGCTTGAGCAGTGGGCCCAGGTGAACCTCATGAGGTTCAACAAATCCAAATGCAAGATTTTGCACCTGGGTCAAGGCAACATCCACTACCAATACAAGCTGGAGGAAGAAAGGATTGAGTGCAGCCCTGCTGAAAAAGACCTGGGAAGACTGGTGGATGGCGAGCTGGATGTGAGCCAGCAATGTGCCCTCGCAGCCCAGAAAGCCAACAGTATCCTGGGCTGCATCCAAAGAAGTGTGGGCCGCAGGGTGAGGGAGGTGATCCTGCCGCTCTACTCTGCACTGGTGAGGCCTCACCTGGAGTGCTGCGTTCAGATGTGGAGTCCTCAGTACAGGACAGAAATGGAGCTGTTGGAGCATATCCAGAGGAGAGCCACAAAAATGACCCAAGGGATGGAACACCTCTCCTATGAGGACAGGCTGAGAGAGTTGGGGCTCTTCAGCCTGGAGAAGAGAAGGCTGCGAGGTGACCTGAGAGCGGCCTGTCAGTATCTAAAGGGGAGCTACAGGAAAGAAGGGGACAGACTTTAGCAGGGTCTGTGGTGATAGAACAAGGGGAAGTGGCTTCAAGCTTAAAGAGAGTAGATATAATATACCAATATTTCTAGTGGTTCCTAAGCAGTGTTGTACAGAGCCAAGGCCATTCCAATTTCCTCAGCTCCTACCAGCGAGTGGCTACAGGGACCCAAGGAGCTGGGAGGAGACGAAATCAGGACAGCTCACTTAAACTGACCAGAGGGATATTCCATGTCATATGACATCACGTGGAAGAAAAGTTTTGAAGGGGGTGGGAATTCATCAGACTTTGTTCTGCTGTTCAAGGACTAGCTGGGCATTGTTTGGAAGGTGGTGAGCAATTGCTTGTTCATACACATATATATATTTTATATATTTGTCATAACTATTATTCTTTTCTTCCTGCTCCCTTGTCTCTATTGTAGTAAACAGTTTTATCTCAACCCATGAGTTCTACTTTGCTCTTTGTTTTTTTTATTCTCTCCTCTATCCCACTGGGAAGAGGGGAAGTGAATGAACGGCTGTGTGATCCTTAGCCACCTGCCAGGTTAAACCACAACATACAGTAAGAATCATCCAGGTTAAAAAAGAATGAATTCTGATGGAACCAGAACTGTATTCAGCATGTATTAATACAATACTGTGTATCATCTCTCATGCCCTAAAGAACTGTTATGACAGATGGAGCCCAAAGTCATAAATTAAATGAACTCCATGGACAATTTACATGGATGGCCTATAAAGCACAGGAATTATGTCAGTGTGTATACATCAAAAAGCAAGATAGGTGATGATAATTAGAATGTATGGAAAATTGTGGGACCTGAGCAAGAGGTGGATATTGTCTTAGTTCCATCTGGGACAGAGTTGTTCATAGTGTCTAGTATGATGCTGTGTTTTGATTTTAGGAGAAAAACAATGTTGATAACACACCGATGTTTCTAGTTGTTGCAGAGCAGTGATGTACAGAGCCGAGGATGTTTCAGCTTTCTCAGTTTCTCATACTGTCTTACCAGCAAGGGGGCTGGGGGCACAAGGATCTGGGAGGGAATGGAACCAGGACAGCTGACCTAAATTGGCCAAAGGGATATTCCATACCATATGACATCATGTGCAAAAACTATTAATCTGAGGCAAGTTGGCCAGAGGGGGGGGGGCACTGCTTGGGAACTGGATGGACATGGGTCAGTGAGTGGTGAGTAACTGCATTATGCATCACTTTTTTATTCATTT